GAGTGTGTGAGTGTGTGAGTGTGTGAGTGTGTGAGTGTGTGAGTGTGAGTGTGAGAGTGAGAGTGAGGGAGAGTGGGTGAGTGAGAGTGAGTGAGAGTGGGTGTGAGTGCGGGTGAGAGTGAGTGTGAGTGAGAGACTGCGGAGTGTGAGTGTGAGTGAGAGTGAGTGTGAGAGGGTGAGAGTGAGAGAGGGAGTGAGTGTGAGCGTGAGTGACGGCAGTGTTATCACTACCGAGACTGGTAAGGCTTGTGGATGGCAGGATTTTACAATTCATAACACCTTTGGTATGTAATTTGTTTAGGCTAATCACACTCAAGCACACCCTCAAAACAGCCTTGAACACCTGAAACCTCCACGATGCTTAACCTTATGGAGAAAACCCTGTATATATATATATATATCAAATTTTACACCAGAAAAAACACCCCTAGGAAAACATCGCCATTCATAAATGTTAACCCCCAACACAAAAACGAAGCAACCCAACATGAAACCCCAACGAGCAGAGTGGGGCTGGATTTCGGTGTGCCAAATCGAGGTTTTCCAATGAAGTGAAGGAACACACGGTTTTTATTGAGTTGGCAGGGAACTTTTGTGAAAGCAGGCGAGGGCTCCGCTTGGCTTGTTGAGATGGGTTGTGTCAATGTTATTGGACAGTCGTTTCAAACAGGTTCACTTCTCTAAGCATGGGCTTTCGATATGCTTTCAAAAACCAACCGAAATAGCCTCAACGATGTGCGACAACCATTTGCTGGAACCTTCAATCCCTGGGTGTGACGATGTGGAAACTCTCCGATCCGATCCAAGGGGGAGACTGTAAAAACTGTTTTCGCATCTATCCTACATGTCTCGCCCTCTTGCTGAGATGTATACCATCAGATTCGCGGGTAGATTCACTTTTCTTTCCTGCTTGATCGTAGATCCCCATCCCGCATCGCCACTGGCCCATATCTCCGTGCTGTTTGCGCCTCGTTCGACGTCAGGACGCGTCGAAAAAACCGTGCGGCTGCATCCTTCCTCTCGCGCAGCGCAGCTGCATTTCTTCTCACGGGATGGATCGTGAGCGTGCGAGGTTTGGTTTTGGTGTGAGATGCAAGTCTGAAGAGGAAATCAATTCAAGAACCTTCTTTGAGGAACTGTTTGGTTCCCACCCTTTTTGCTGCTTCCAAATTTTGATTTGTTCAGATTGCTTATGCAGCCAAGGTTGGTGGCCAGCGCCAGTAGTGGATGCACAAGAGGCCGGGGAGGGAGCAGAGAGGGAAAGAATAGTTTATGTTGCTTGCACTCTGGCACACCCTATGTGAATGTAGAATGTAGCTTTGTTGTAGGTCCAAGATAGTGGTCCCTGGAGAAATGGAGAAATGCAGAGATGGTCAACCTGAACCTCCGGTGAAGGACATGTTGAGCTTCGAAGGTTCGGGATGTGGGTGAAGACCTTTGTGGTTCTCTGATGTGTTTGGTCTTGACCCCCTCTTTCCATCGCAACGCGGTTTGGGCGCTCCGAAAACGAAGGGACGAGGTGGTCAAACCGGTCAAGTGGATAGAGGTGATCGAACCTCTCCCTATTTGTGCGTGATTGCAGGATTCCAAGAGGCGAATCTTATTTCGTTTCGGAGTGCGCTCTTGTTTGACCAAGTGGCAACCAACGCAGCCCCTGATCTGTTTCTGTCCGTGGCTCCGCGGCTCCACACGTCGCGACGCGCGAGGAGGAGGAGGCGGTTGAGAGGCTGAGAAACCACAAGAGACTTGGCTCAGACAGCCTTGTTACGTTTGCAGATTGTTGTTACTAGTAGCAATGGCCTCCAAGGTAGCGATGGCCTCCACCTAGTACATTTTGAGACTGGACCCTTCGTGACGTTGCAGCAGAAGTGGTGTGACGTGTTAAGCCGTTTCAATTGGTTTGTGTAGCATTGAGCTGAGGAAGCTGCATAGTTTAGACATGTTTAGACCCTGATAATCCCTGGTAGCTATGGCAGTCGTTTCTTTTCTTGTCAACTATATAGTATATTGTATATATGGTGTATTTTACTCAAGGAGACCCAGCCGGACCCAGAAGAAAACTGGAGCAAATCGATGCATAGCAAAACTGGGGTGCCCCTATTCCGATGCAACGACACAAATCTCCAAATGGAAGGTTTAGCGGGGATTGTTCCAGGGCCGCCATAAGTCATCTTCTACCAGGTTTTGGTCGTGGCTGGCGCTAAATCATACTCATGAGTCCTGGGCCCCTCTTTGACCCTGAGGAACTTGCTCTACGTGGGGAAGGTTGATATTGGAGAGCCTGCACAAGAGGTCACCCTGGTCTTCGACACAGGCCCGCGCGTGACGGATGGGATCAGAACTGATGGAGCCTTGATGGGGTTCTTGAAGATTTAGTCTCGAGAGTATGATTTCTTCACCACCTGTTGGCAGAGGGAACAGCATATCATCAGATCTTTCCAGAGGGTGACAACTTTTGTTTTCCAGCTGCGTTCCGTCCCTGTGGTCGACGAACTTGGGGCCGTCATAGCGATTTGTTTGTTCAGGACTCCTGTGAGTCACGGATGGGCTTTTGCCTGGAACTTAGTGGCTTCCACTGCGCATCATTTCTGGTGATTTCTCGAAATTCGCATGTCAAAGGGAGGAAAAAGAGGAAAACCAGAACCCGTCCTGAGCACGAGAGGGGAGGGCACCTGAACACTGGCTCTCTCTTTACTCTCAATCTTCCAAAACGGTCCCCCCCAAAAAAGAACACCACGCCCTTTTCCTCCAAAACGTCCTACCAAATTCTCCCACTTGAAGACCAGAAGGCCCGCCCTTGGGCGAAGCAACGGTCCGGGTGCTTCAGCACGTGGCCGCCCTCGTCGGTTCGTTTGGTCTCGGGCTCGGCGTCTCGGCTCGTGGAGGCTCCTCCGATCTGTGGGTCTCGGACAAGGCCTTCACGGAGCAGCAGTCCTACACGTGGCAACCCACGGACTACAACGTGCGCCCCGGTGGGTGGCGCGGTGGGTTCGTTCGGTCGGTCCGTTGGTTTGGGTGGAAGGGCGGTTCTGGCGTGGAACTGCTGGGAGAGTCCGGAGGGCGGGAGGTTCCCCATGCTGGATCGCAGTGGCTGAACACGGTTTTTTTTTGGTGGTGAAAGAGTGCATGGAACAGGACAGTGAATCACACTTAGGTCAAACAAAGAGGAAGCTGCGAAACTGTTACTTTAGGCAAAACAGTGAACAAGAAATCACTGTTACCCGCGGCTTCCAAGACAGTGGCCCAAGTCCTCGGTGCTTCCTTTTTGGGCCGAGGACTTGCCAGACATGGGAAGTGGAGTGGAGAAAAACCACCTGTTTGGTATGAGGATTTCACCGGGCCTAGTTACTAGCTTCCATCCACTTACAGGAATAAAGGGCATCGCTACTAGGAGCAAGGACGCTACTAGTAGCTCCTGGCCTTGCTACTAGGAACAAGAAGCTACTAGTAACAAATGGCATCGCATTCTTTTTCTTTGATTTCAGGGAGAGTCAGTTGACCGGCTTCTTTCTCCTCGAGACATGATTTCTGGCGGGAAAGCTGCAAGGTCCCGTCCTGGACCCATTTTGATCATACCAGGAATCGATTTTCAGCGACACTCAGACGGCCATATGGAAGAAGTTCCGGAGGGGCTGATCCCAAACCATCTTCGTTCAGAAACTCATCTAACTATCGAACCGCCCATCCAAAAGACTCAAAAGACTCAACTCGAAGTGCCCAAAAAGGCAGGTCGAAATTGCGATCTAAGAGCTCTAAGCCCCTACTATAAAAGTTGTACAGACTTTGACAGGGCGGAGCTTGATGATCCAACAGCTTAGACGTTGACTTCCCATGAAAAAATGTCGTGTGGAACACCGGCGAATATCCAAAAAAAATGCCTATGGCTGAACAGTCAATGAATACTGCAACTATCTTGTTCCTCTTTGCTTGAGATGTGATGGAAAGTTGCCGATATCGCGATATCGCACACAAACCGAAGATGCGCTGCTGGACAGAGCGGCGATTCATGGGTCAAAACGTAGAAAAAGACTCCCAAACTCTGATTCCCCGAACGCGCACGTGCGTCGTCCCTGCGGAAAAGCATCTAGGTCGCCATCATGTACGGCTCGGGCTCTGTTGCAGGCGAGATGGCAGCCATGAAACACCTGTGTGTGAGTGGGTAGATGATGCACATTCATTCCTATCCACACACTGCTCATCCAGTTTGAACAAACCCTCCTTGGTGTCCAACTTACAGAGAGTAAACGTTTTGAGTCCGTAAACTTCTAAAGGGCCTCATCTTTACATGATGTTCATGTTGGCTGCGTGGGTCGGGGGCCGCTGAGAGCCGAGCCCAGATCTTCAGATCTTCTCTTTGCAGATCTCTCCAGCCGCTGGCGAGGCTATTACGGCACCGACAAGGTCTGCCTCCAACCCTCGTCCTTGCCATGCATCCCAAGGACCGGGGGTTCGCTGTCTGTTTGGAGAGTCTGATGAGAGGCGATAGCACAAGGAAAACACACCAAGATGGTGTGTTTTCTCTCATATCCGGCGGAAAAGACCTGGGAATTCAGTACACACCAGGGTGGTTTCCACAGGGGTCTTGTGAGTAGATAGGATGCTTGTTGTTCAACTCAAGAGTTGCCATACCAACTATGTATTTTTATTTTGGGGTGTGATCACTCCCACCATCTCCAAAAAGCAACCTCGATGAGGATGGTAGATTGGAGTTCCAGTTGCTTCAAAGTGAACTTGAACGACAGGACCCAGTGACCCTTAAAACAGAGCGACCTGACCGAACCACCGGGGTCAGCCTGGGTCACGAACTGAAGAACCTGGCTGTTGCTTTTTGGATTGGTCGTGGACGAAAGCCCTCCCTCTTCCACCATCAAAGCACTCCCCCCAAAACATGGTAGCCAGCCCGAACACGTGGACTGACGGGGTGTACTTTGTTAGTCCCACGGTTGATGCAACAGGTCATCCCGCCGAAATCTCGCCCGGTATTCAGTCCTTATTTTTATCATCTTGATTCTTGATCTTCATGGTTCAGTGTTAAGGATCAGATGGAGCAGACTTATCAACAATCTTGTTCTGTGCTTCCCTTTTTCTGTGAGGCCCTGGCCTTTCAACGTGTCAGACACGTGTTTTCGGTCGCCGAGATAGGCGCCTCCCAGGCAGCCGATCATGTTGGCCACTGTGACCTTGCAGATTCAGCTGGACTACATGGATGGCGCCTCACGGTGATTAGTGTCGTTTTCCGAACTAACTTTTCTAAGGCACCGACCGGAAGCGGGTGGAGCATGTGGGTGCATGATCTTGAATCCGGGAGACAACCAACCAAAGAATGGCTTTTGGTCAATTTTCCAAACCTTCCGGGGCCGGGGTTGAATGGGGGTCGGTCTCACAGCCATCACAGCCATGTCGGGCCACCTCTCCGTCCGACCCGTGACACTGTTTCGCACTCGATCTTCGACCAGGGATGCGACATGCGTGGGTTTGTTGGCAAAGATTGGGCGACAGGCTGGGGATGTGTTTGGAGTGTGTATCAGTTGAGTGGAACACCTCCCGTCCGAAATGGACTGGGAATCTCTGGTCCGAAAGTGACCAGAAACGGACCAGAAAGGTGGGCTCTTCGTTCTGCACTCCTTCCAAGTGAGCGATCCCCAGTGTTGTTTTGCTTAACCCGGTCGGTCAGGTGTTGTGATTCTGTTGGTGTCATCCTGGTGTTGTCCGGTCCGGAGCCCCCTCAATAACCCGTCACGCCGCCGCTGGACCGCCGCAGCGAACGGGCCGGATGTTCAGAGGGTGCGGTTCCGTCGACGCACGGCGAAGTCTTGGTATACAAAGTCCCAGGTCATGTAGACTCCTGATTAGTAGAAGCTCACCAGGCACAAGAGGTTTCTCCAAATCAAAGGGTTTATTGATCAAGAATCGACATGTTTTTTGCCGAAGACTCCATGAGGTGCCCACTTCTCCCATCCTTGGACGTTTTTGACTTCTCGTCTCCATGTGGTTTTCTAGCCCAGATTCTTAGACTTCCAAAAAATCGGGTTGCTGAAAACATCTGTCAAAGGGTTTTTCCAGTTGCATAGGCATGCCCTTCCTGACTATAGCGCCACGCTAGGCATCCTGGGGCTCGGCTTCGTGGGCATCTCCCACGTGCATCGCACCTTCCTGCGGAACCTCAATGAGCGGCTTGGACGGTGATGCCCCGCGGGGGGAACATGTTCGGACCTCTTACCGGCCACGAGAACGGGGACGTGGCCGGTTTTTCGGGGGACCTTTCCGAAGCCTTTCCTTTTGTTTCCAATCCCTTTTTTTCCAGCGTCTTTCCCATGCATCTCTTTCCTTTTCCTCCTCCTTGCAGACCTGACTGGGATGGTGTGCGTCGTGCGCCAGCTTGCCAGCTTAAAAAAGGTGTGTGGCGAAGAGACAAACAGACTCGTAGCATCTCGTCTCCATCCGGAACCTCCGAATTGGAGCTATGATATTTCTTTTCCAGTTCCCAGTGTCTGAGTCATTGACACTCTTTCCGATGTTTCTGGTCCTTCATTTTCCATCTTTGTGTTTTTTCCCTTCCAAACCACAGCTTTTGCTGGCAAGAAGCTTCCCTGAGGAGCTTTCAGGATTTGACCTTTGCCTTCCAGCTGCGGCCGGACCATAGCGAGGGAGGCTCTTTCGTGTACTTTGGTGAGTTCGACGAGGTGCGGAGGCTTCAGTCTTCAAGCAAAAGATGAGGAGAGGACTGTTAATCAAGCAAGGAGTGGGATGAGATGTATATAGAGATGTAGGGTGCAGTTGAGGGTGCGGTGCAGTTTTAGGTCTTGGAATGGTTTGTGACGGTGGAACTAGAGTTTTTTTGTACACGAAGAAGTTGTATGCGGCATGCCTTCGTAAGTCTGGATTTCTCTGCTTGCTTGTATGATTGCTTGCTAGGCTCTATGATCGCACTTTTTGGCTTACTGGATCAGAACCTGGCTGCCCATGTGGTGTTTTTTCTCCAGAGGTTCCAGTTTTCTTATCACGCCCAGAATTCGCTGACCTTGGCTTAGGACATCGCATGTGTGAATATGATGGATGATCTAGGACATAGATTTCTGTTGACCCTTTCTCGCGGAGACCGGAAGGATAAAGAACGACATCTCTCATGCGCATGAAACAGAACTCTTGTTTCAACTCTAGGACCTTCCCAGAGGGACAGATCCAGAACAGATCCAAACTCTAGCAGAACTTGGACCGGGGCGACCGGACGAACAACCGCTGGACCGGGCGACCTGGACGGGACCGGGCGACCGGTCGCGCCGTTGCTGCTAGGTGATGGCGCAGGGCTTCCTGGAGACCGGGATTGCCAAGGAGCAGGCGCCGACGTCTCTGTTTAACGACGCTTCGCTGGCTTGTCATCCGAATTGTCAAGTCAGACCGGTCGCACACCTGGGCAGCTCGTCTCAATTCGATCTCCGGATCTTGGATCTTCCGGTCTGCTTCGGCAGCCAAGGGTCAAGGGCGGTGTTCCTTCCACCCCGGTTCGAGTCTGGTCGGCGGGTCTTGCAAATCCACCTCCAGGTCACATCTCCCAAACCTGCAAGAAGGGATTGGTGTTCTCAGTAAGACTCACCAAGACGGACAATTGGACAACCAGCAAGTGTGGTCTTCCAGAGGGTCGATTTGGTTCCGCTTCCATGTGATGTGAGTCAGTCAGAGTGCACGGCGGCCTTTCACTGGGTGATTGGTCGGGACAATTAGTAGCTTCTTGCTACTAGTAGCGATTTCCTTGTTACTAGTAGCGATGGCCTCCAACCTACTAGCGATGTCCTCCACCGTGCGTAGCTTCTTGCTACTCGTCGTAATGCCCTTGTTGCTAGTAGCGATGCACTTGTTACTAGCACATCCACCTGGCTACGGCTGAGACGTCGAGGATCTCGAGGATCTGTCCTGCGTACGCAGGTGCTCCACGCCCAAGTGCTGGACCTCTTCAAGCCTTTTGGGCATGAAAGCAGGGGACCTGGTGGTTCAAAGGGAGCTCTGTAATTTTCGCAGTCTGAAAACTCAAGAGACCTGCAATTCACATCGCTTCGAAGCCTGGAAGAAGCTCACAGATTGAGTGGGGGGTGACTTCACAATGATCAGATCGACTCCGAGAAAGGGCCGCCTGCCCACCTTTCATGATGGTCACGCAGTCACGGTCTTTCTTTGAGTCTCATTGATATAGAATATAGATGGTGGCCTCCCTGATGAGCCTCCCTGATGCGACAGAGTCAGAGGCCTAGCTGGTGAGTTTAAGACTGGGGGAGCAGTCTTGTGAATGGCTGATTTGGTATGCTGATTGTCAAGACAGGAAATAATTTCTCTCAAACTCCACACATTCAAAGACTGATATCGATCTGCATGGCGCACATGACTGCACACCTCCTGGGGGGTTTCTCTACCCTCGCAAAACAGGGCCAGATCGGCACGAACTTGGTTAAGCCCTTGTTTGTCCTTTGTGATGCAGGATCAGTTGACCAGCAAGATAGGTGAACGTTCCATTTCTACAGGGCCCCGCAGATGAGCAGATCTGCTGGTGCAAAAAAGAACTTTGACATAAAAGGACCGAACCTTCCAACAACAGGTCCAAGGGATATTGAAACTTCTAGAAGTGAAGTCTTGCAGTGTCACCAGACTTGCAGTGTCTCCATCGTTGACGGATTCGAATGGCTTTCCATCTTAAGAACCACGCAGCTCCGATCCGACAGAGAGGTTTCTTCTTCCGCGCGGGTGGTGGACCCCCCGACCCCGACCCACGCTCTTCGTCGCGCCTCTTCGTCAGACCGAGACCGAGACCGGGGCGGCCGGGGCTTCAGGATCCCGGACATGCAGCACCTGCAAGCTGGTTGGTGGCTGGCGGAGCTCCGGGCCAAGGAGTGGACCTGGCGGGGAACGGTGCGTTGCGTGGGAGATTCATCTCCACGGGGACGAGGTCTCGGGGACGTCGTAAAGGCAGGTGGTCCTTGGTCCTTGGTGTTGGACAAAAGCTTCTCGACTTCTCGACTCTTTGCCAGGCGCTTAGCGCTATTCTCAAATGTCAGGAACTTGCAGGTGAGGTCGTGTGATATTCAGAAACCTGGTATGCTAAAGTGGGTGGCCTGTATGCAAGCGGTAGGCTGTGAAAGATCAGCCCATGATGCCACTGATACCACACTTCCAGGGTGCTCCAGTGACCAGCAAGTCCCCATACTTCCATGGCCTTGGGTGGGTACATCATACTTTCAGGCTTTCATCTTTCCTCTTGGCAACGATGTATACCGTATACCTAGCATCCACCTACCAACTAGTTACCTCATAGCTTCAGACATCAGCAGCAAAGAGCGGACCAAGATCTTTGCACAAGACCTCCGCAAGCGAACAGGTCATGGGACAGCCCAAGAACCTGACATCGCTGCGGTTTCGCTTCCTTCTCCACAGCTGGCTTCTAGTGGCTTTCCTTTTAACCTGCGCCTTGGCCAGGCTCTTACCCTTTTGACAGATGGTCATGGACGGTTCCGAAGGTAGAGACAAGGTTGCGAACAGCCATGTCAGCCATGTGATCTATCATATGATTTGGTGACCAGTCCTTGGTATATGCCGCTTCGGAGATTTTGGTCAGGGCAAAAGGCCGTGAGACATCCCAAAAGCATTAAAACCCCACGGAAGGTGGAGGACACATGCTTTTGGAGAATGAGGTTATGTGGCTGCGGGTCAAACCTGGTTGACCACCGAAAATGAATAGAATAGACGACTATACACGGCCAACCTACCAGGGTCAACTGGGCTCCGGGCTTTCCTCCCTTCAAGATCGCATACTCCCAACACGAATGCCGTCGAGCAGCCTCGGCGGCCAAATCCTTCCAGCCCCGGCATCTAGCCCTGCCAGCCCTCCCTCACAATAGACAAGTTCATAAACTGATGATTTGATCATGGAAGACCTTCATCCAGTTTACCCCATAGGCCATAGGATACCAAGGGTAAAGGAATGTAAAGGACATGGTGGTATGGTCAACTGGGTCATGCTATCCAGGAATCCTGGCTGATCCCGAACATGTTCATCAAATCAACGCCTTGCCAGCCACCCATGGGCCAGACATCCCTGTCGGGCTCGGGCCAAAACGACTGTATCGTAGCATTAGTAGCCAGGAGACCTGTTCCTAGTAGCTATTTGTTACTACTAGTAAGGCACTTGTTACTACTAGCGTGGCACCTGTTCCTAGTAGCCAGGAGTGGAAGAAATGGGCACGGGCAGCTCGTTCCGTTGCCGTCCACGTTCCGCCTCCGTGAGTCATCTGTGAACCGCTCGTGGTGGCGAAGCTCCTCATGAGCGTCTCGCGCCTCATGGAACGCTTGGATGAAAGCTGTTTCCAAATGGAATGACGTAAGCTAATATAGTATATATACGGTAACCGTACAACCATGTTTTATTGGATCTTTATATACAGGGATGTTTGGAAACGGCTTGATCTTCATCGATGCTTTTCAGCGGAACCGACACGTCGGGGAAGCTGAAGGGAAGGACTCGACGCAAGGCGCTAAGCGCGCCGCTTTCGACGCTGTCTCTCCATGAGGGCATGTCCTTGGAAGGTCTGCGAGAGTATATCTAAAGGTATGGTATGATGGGGTATGTGGTATAGGTGTGGTATACGGCAGAGCTTTTTTGTCTTGAAGGAGTGATCTACAAAAGCCCAGATGCACATCTCTTTCTGCCCAGAGTTCAGGTGGGCCACCGAGCTCAACAAAGCACACAGATGAAGGGCTTAGTGGCGACGGTTGAAGCCATCCATTGTTTGGGGCCTCTTGAGCAGCTCCAAGTGCTAACTTACAATGGTTGTGCAGGGAAAGGAAGAGATTCTAATGGTCCCAATGATCCCAATACAGACCACCAGTGCCCAACAGTCTTCATACATGAAGGTGTTTGATGACGTAAGAGTGGCATGATGTGACCTGTTTGAGACGATTCCTGATTTCTTGCTTTTCGTTTTGGCTGCGGGCTCTAAGGTGCGTACCTGAGCCAGAGGTACTGCAAGATCTACTACAAGGTGCATAGCCTTTATTTTGCTCAGCACAACAGCTTTCCCTCTTGATGGACCAGTTCTTTTGTAAGACCTGGTTGGCGGTCCCGGTCCTTCAACATGAAACACACCGTTTCTTCGATCGATCAAAGCTGACCAAATCGCGCAACCAACATCCCGCGGCTCCAAGTCCTTCCAACTGATGTGGGGGTACTACGAATCAACATGGATCAGATCTGCAGTCTACGAAGTGTGACGGTGCCGAAAGGTGACCAGGAAACACCACGTTCCGATTTCTTCTTTGAAAGCCACCACGTATGAATGTGGATGCTTTGCGATGATTGATGGGGTATCTGCAATGTTGTTCCACGGTTGCAGAAACGGGACATGTGCAAACGTCTCTGGACATATCTAATTACATGTCTGGATTCTTGGCAGGAGAATGTAGAACTTCAGCCACTTTAGTTTTTGTGAGGAGCCTAGGCGATGGGATTGTTACAAGACTGCGATGAACACCTGAGGGCTGAGGACATATGGGTTTTCAGCAAAACTATTCTCAGATCGGGGAAACCCTGGTCCCCTTCAGAGTTCGGGCTCTGTTAGTCCAATCCAAGGTCAAAACCCTTCAATCATGGCAAACGCCTTGAACGATCACCTAGTTACGGTTCAAGCATGTTCAAACAGTGTTTTCCCTGCCAGAAGCATGTTTTGGTGGGAATCCAGCAAACTCAGGACGGGTATGTTAACCCAAGAATCCAGAAGTTTCCCCAAGCTTTCCGCATTGGAACCTCATCTATCGTCTACTGTTGTGCCTCTTTAATTACCGCATTTTTTCTATGGGTTTTCCACCTGTGCCTGCGAGCCCGTGTCGAGCCCTGCTCACCTCTGTCGTTGCTGGCCGCGACCCTGCTCCAGGGCACTGGGCGACCCTGCTGTGACTGCTGTTGCAGCACCCTGTGGTGCCGGCCTCAACGTGTGGCCGAACAACGGAGGGACCACGGTGGACCAGGGTGTTGACGGTGTTTGGCATTTTGGGGTGCCCGGAAGCTGTGGGGGAGTTCGAGGTGCCCAGTTGTTGGCCAGAACAGCGAGAAAAAGCAGGACCGCTTGGGGGTTCAGAAGTCAGGACCGCTTCAGTTGTTGGGACCACAGGTGAACCTGGAAACGACCGCCTGTGGTCACCTGTTGTCAACACCGGTCACTCGCCAGTCGGCCAGAGCCTCGTTGTCAGCGCAAAGCCGAACTGGAACGACCGCCTGCTCCAAGCCGGGTGAGTTGTCACGTAACTCATTCTTGCCGTGCTTTTCTCAGCATTTTTCAGCTGCTTGTACAAAGCTTTGTGCCAACGACATGGCTGACATGGCCGTGGTCACCAAGTGAGACAGAAGAGGATCCATGCAAGACCATTTCACCGGTTTCTCGGGGACATTTGCTTAAAAGTGTTCAAGTAGGCCTCGCCAGATAGACCCGATTTCCTTTTGGAGGGGGGTTGATTTCTTTTGTGTTCTGTTCAGATACGATTGCAGTATGTTTTGAACTCCACAGGTCTTGAGCAGAGAGACTTGTTCTGGACGGGGTATGCAAGTGGTTGTTGAGGCAAGTAGGGCCAAAGAAGTGATGGACATGGACCACTATCCCCAAACCCAGAGAAAGCTCAGAGCCACAAGCATTCAGTTCACTTGACGCCAGTATACTAACCTGATGATCCTGCAGCCTGTGCATCACTCTGCCTCAACAATCTCTATATAAGGGTGGTGAGTGCAGCCAGGCCTGACAACAGAATCACTAATCAGTGGTCGTTTCGCAGTTCATGTGACATAGACGCTTTTTGCTGGGAGATGCGTGCACGTGTTCTGATCACCTTCAGCCAAAAATGCAGTTCGGTCTGTTCAGTTACTGATCAGTTCCTTCTCCTTGGAGACCACGTCTGTCTAAAACGGTCTAAAAGTCGACTCGTGGGTGATGGAGCCAGGTGCCTTTGCTATTTGCTGGGACGCTGGGATGCAAAGGAGGGTGAGGATCGATACAGAGCTCATCCTCAAGCTATTTTGGGAATGACTATATAGACCAATGTCAAGTAGATAGAAACGTAGATCCCCACTCAAAATGTATTGCAAACCGTGCCACTATCTATTTAAGGCTTTGGTCTTAAGGTCTCCACATCGTGGTCCACGTCTCACTTGGCGGTTTGACTCATGAGCAAAGAACAAGTCCACGGCTCACACTCAATCAAGACATCCAAGCAAGATCCCGTAGCTGATTCTTCCTGAAATTCCCAGATATGTTTGAATTTCAGCGACGGAGCTCCATCGATCACAGGTTTTATTCTTGCCCCAAACCAACTGCAAGAAGAGCTTCTATGGTGCTTTCCCGAAGGAAAAAAGCATTGCGTTAGCAGAAACGGGTTGCGACTTTTGCGCGAAGACACGAAGACACGAAGACACGCGAAGACACGAAGACACGAAGACGCGAAAAAGCTTCAGGTCTTCAAGGCTTCAGGTCGTCAGAAGGCTTCGGGTTGTCAGAAGGCTTCGGGTCGTCAGGAGGCTTCAGGTCGTCAGAAAGCTTCAGGTCGTCAGAAGGCTTCAGGTCGTCAGGAGGCTTCAGGGCTTCAAGGCTTCAGTTCGTCAGAAGGCTGTCTTCAAGGCTTCACGTCGTCACCAGGCTTCAGGTCTTCAATGCTTCAGGTCGTCAGAAGGCTTCAGGTCGTCAAAAGGCTTCAGGTCGTCAGAGGCGTCAGGTCGTCAGAAGGCTTCAGGTCGTCAGAAGGCTTCAGGTCTTCAAGGCTTCAGGTCGTCAGAAGGCTTCAGGGCTTCAAAGCTTCAGGTCGTGACCAGGCTTCAAGTCTTCAAGGCTTCAGGTCGTCAGCAGGGCTTCAAGGCTTCAAGGCTTCATGTCTTCAGAGGAAAGTCACCGCAATTGCCAACACACTGGAAAAAAGCCATCACCTTCCTTCAGTGCCTGCAGAAACCCATTCCGAAAAGTGACGCGGACAACGGGGGGCTGACACCGACAGGATGCGATGCACAGCTGCACAGCTGCGGAGAGTTCAGGGGTCCGGGGGTTCGCATAGAAGGGCCCCATGTGAGCGACCGACCGTATACGGCTCCTTCCCTACCTCCTGAGAGGTGGTTGGGGTGGTGATCTAACGACCTGCTTTCGGAGGTGGTTGGAGGTTTCAGGGGGACAAAGAATGGTTGGCCAAATTCTACATTTTGCAGCAACTTGCACCACTTCCGCCACACCCAGGTGCGATTTATCTCATCAATTTCTTCGTCGTGGTGTTTTCGGTGGGCGATTGGATGGAGAGGCCGGTGCTTGCAGCCTTCGATACTGGCACTTCGCTCATCTCTATGCCTACAGGCCTCGAGTTCGGGGAGGGATGGACCGGAAGCACGTTGGATGCGTTGGTCCAATCGGATCACTCCTTCCTTCGATTGTGTGGGGTCTACGTTCTCTTGGTAGAACCGGACTTCTTTTTCACGTCTGTGGTGTTTTTTTTCTTTTTCGTTTTGGGCTTTCTCCAGAGTTGGTGGGTTTGCGCTGGGGTTGCAATCGGGGCCATGAACACCGTTACTACCCTGTTATATAGATCGAATAAGTTCTACTTTACCACATGGGGACCTCTTAATCTATCCAACATCCAACTGGAAATAATGAAGACTCGACTGCTGGAACCCATCCAACGGTTGGACGGTCAGTTTATGACACCCTATCCAACCGCTTAAATGGGTGTCCATTCTTTTTTCATCCACTTTCGCACCAAAGAGGCGGGTCCTCGGAGATACACCCAGATCTTCTGTTTGAACCTAAACATGCAACAATCCCTTCGGGTCGGGGGGGGGTGAGGACAGGGGGTGGGAACCCCCTCTTCCGAACCTTTCCACCCCTCCCAGCCCTTTCGTCCGAGTGCCACCCTCTGCAGCTGACTTCTTGTCCGTGGCCTCGACCATGTTCGGCGAGAAGTACTTCACCGACTGCGAGGCCGGTGGACAAGGTTCTCCGTTCGTTCGCTGGTCGAGGTTCGGTGCGACGAAGGACCACCGGCTCATGGCCCAGAGGGGTGGTGCAGGCTTTTGGGGCGCTCATGAAGCCTCGACCAGTCCACCAATGTAGGCGAGCGAGCTTAAGACCAACACCTTGGGGAAGGTCAACCATGTGAGGTCTCCTGGTGGATTTGGACCCACAGCTGGTGGCATCAGCCCCTTGATGTTGATGATGTTGATGTTGGGGAGGGTTGCAAAGGGGACCCAATGGGCTGTTTGACAGTGTTGAAGATGCTCAGGTGGGTTTGTTGATGCTCCTTCCAACTTCTCCACTTCGCTTCATTTTTCTTTTGGGTCGAGTCACCTCCCAACTTCATCCCAAGTCGGTTGGTCTTTCCATCATCTTGGCTCACAGAGTATGGCGAGCCAATGAGCTAGTGAGCCAATGATGATCCAGGCTGAACCCCTGGCTTTTTGTGCTTTGCTTTGCTCCGGGTGCCATCGACGCGTTTTGGTGCTCCGGTTGTGTGCTCTGCGGACACCGCGCCACACTGGGGGATGCGGCGACCCATCCGGGCAGGTGGTGCGGGGCAACCTGGTCTGCGACTGCAGCATTGCTCCGAAGGTGAGGCCTTTGGTCTTTGAGTTTCCAGCTGGGGGGTCCATCGTCTTGAGGCGCGAATGAGTTGGGTGATTCGCTGGGTGGGGTGACCATTGAGATTGGGTGGGCATTCTGAGGAGGGAGCTGAAGAGTTTGGGAAGTTCAGTTCTGGATACCTTTCACATCCTTTCACCATTCCAAGAACGTTGAGAAGATCAGATGTTCATTGGAGGCTCATGATTCTCATGATCTTTGAGAGCCATGCGGAACGCTGGCGGAACCGCTTGACCACAGCCTCCGGCTGACCGCCGACCCGATTTCATGGCGGCTGATTTCAAGACCCACAGCAGGTTGTGCACCAAGACCCTTCAATTGAGACCTCTTGTTACTTGAGCTTATGACTAAAGTGACCTCGTTCTGGGGCGCAACTGCAACTGCCATGTGCCCCATTGCGCCATCTGTGAATATGCCACTTTGACATCGCCTTCGCGTTCTGCAGAACGTCCGTTAACATGTCTCTTGGTAACGCACACAGATGGCACCATCGGGGGTAGTGTGGTATAGAACAAGACCATTTTCGCCACTCTCACCCCGGAGTAGAACTCCCATCCACGACGCAAGACCCATCTGCTCAGGGCCCGAACAGATGGGCTTGCTAAACACGCGACGTGACCCTGTAGAGAGTAGTTCTCCTGAGAAGCACATGGAATCATTGAAAGACTCTGTAGCACCATCTCTGAAATCAGTTAGTATGACGCCATTCCTCGGGCACATCGAGGCGTTCGAGAAAACCCTCCCGTTTTCGCACCTTGAAACGAGGCCCAGCGAGATGTTCGTCAAGGTGGGTCAGACACATGACATGGAGCTCTGCTTGACGGGCCTAGCTCCTCCGGCTGGATTTTTGAGTGGCGAGTCCATGGCATTGGTCCTCCCAAGAAGTCACTTTAAACTGTTCTTTGGGACCTGGTAGTGGCGCTTTTAGTTGCTTTACTTGTTATCAATAGATCAATTGCCAGTAGGTGAGGTAACTTCCAAGCAGCTGGGTTGGAGGCCATCAGCTTGGACATGCCCACCACCATTCTGGGTTGTTGAGAAATTGATGGACAGTCTGCAACATGACCAAATAACCTGAGCATTCTTTTTTTTGGAGTACGTTCTTTTTGCCGGGCCGCGTGGTGCTAAGGCTGCGAATCCACAACCCATTTGGATCTTGGGAGATGTCTTCCTCCGACAGGCGCGGTGAGAGATGCCGCTCCAGGTGCCGGAGATTCGATCTTCGGTTTGAGCACGGGATATATATATATATATACACCCCTGAAGATTAACATGGAACCTCTATCTATATATAAGCTACTTTGATTTTGGGTGAAATTGGAGGCTTTGCTTTACCGGATTCAAGATGCTTGGGTGCAGTCGAGGTCTACGCTTCGCCCAATAGCTCGAAACTTCGGAAATCGTCGGCCTGGCCATGTCCTCGACGAACGCCTGGCCATTTTGGCAGGTCTTTGCGGTGCATGCCTTCAAGCGAAGAGAGGTGGCTCTCTTCCCTTATCATCCTGAGAAGGTCGGAGCTGGGGGAACTAGCTCGTTGATGTAAGGCCCGAAGAGATGGAAGGCCCGAAGAGATGGAAGGCCCGAAGATCAGTGTTTACTGGGATGATCTCCTTGCAAGAGTTCTTTTTTCAATGATTCTGCTGGAAGATTTGCAGAAACCAGTTGGCGGTGGTTGTTGGTGGAATTGGTTGGCGTAATTCAGATGAATGTGACACGGCGAGGTTTACTTTCAGGAGGCACGGCCTTCTGAGATGTTTATTCTTCTGAAAGATCTTCAAGTTTTAAGGTTAGCAGTGCCATTTCAGGTAGATGACCCCTCACAGGAGGAATCACAAGATTTTTTTTCGTCAAGGTTTCTTCCAACTGGGGGACCAGTGGTCCCTGCGTCGGCAGGTGGCTGAGACCCTCGAGACCTGGGGGGCTGATGAGGGTGGAGCGGCCACCACCGTGGCTGCAGTGGCCACACTGGTGGCGGCGGTCTCGGCGCTCTGGGCACTGCGGCGCGGTAAGGAGCCAGAGAAGATGGCGGAACCACTGCTGCCGCAGCTGGGAGGGACAGTATTGGTGCTTGGATCCGGGAATGGAGGCCTTAGACCCCCGCCCAATGATCCCACATGGATCGGATTGGTCCAATTGCCATGGCCTTTTTCGTTCGAAGAACTTCATATTTTCATTTGCTGGTGGAAGTGTTGGGAGGGGATGTGGTCCCAATTTCGGTGATCACGACTCCATGGGGATGGACGGTGGCTCATAATGGGGCTGTGGAGAATCAAGTCATTGGTCATGTGTGGTCCTCAGGCAATATACTGTTATGCAAGTATAAGTATATTACTTCCAATATATAGAATTGGATAACATTCGGGCCCATTGTTGAGAGGTTCCAAGATCCTTCTTGAGGGTGCCTTCTTGAAGACCCAGATGCTTTGGGGTCTCCCGACATGGTCCTGCGTGACGCTCCGCGACGCCTGTCCTGCACCAGTCCTGCTAAGGCCCATCCGACCGGAAGTCAGCTGAGAGAGAGGACGGAGATGGAGCACCTGCCTCCGATGGTTGGACCTGGCAGAGCCACGGCATGCCACGACCATGTTCTGGTTTTGGATGACCGGATTTACAACCATCCAGTATTTACAGGACTTGCGGACCAGGTGGTAGGCTGTGTGGCTCATCTGGAACTTCGGAAAACACACACACACACACACTACTATTTGTGCTAATTTCTATATGGCACAGAGGTGAAATTGGTGGTGGGATGTGGTGGGATAACTCCTATGCTTGGGTCTCCAATGTTCGTGGCCTTCTCCAAGCCGCAGCTGGCGGAACCAAAAACGTGCGGGAGAGGCTCAGAGCCTGTGGCAAGGGGGCTGCACATGTTTGATCGAAGATCGATAGGGGCCACGATGCCCACATCGATTTGCCCATCCAGGGGTGACCTCTTTTTGACCTCTTTTGGATTGCTTTTTTCGTTCGGTGGGTGGTTTTGTTGGGAGAAGTACCTCGGGTATTGGACGTGAGATGGAGAGGATATTTGCATTTTCCCCACCTCAGAGGTTTTGGCATCCGGCGGCTGGGGGCGTCCACGGGCACCTTATGGGACGGCGCACAACAATGACTGGTGCTTAGATAAGAAATCAGGGAATGGATCCAAAGGAATCTCTACTTACACCCTGGAAGATTAACATGGAACCTGAAAACCACTGGGTTGTAAAGGGAAACATCGTCTTCTAGACGTTTCATTTTCAGGTTCGTGGGTCTCTTCCCGGGTGCCTCATTCTTCCCTCATCCCCTCACAGTCCTTCCGTTCGCTTCCGTTCGTCCACCGGACGGGCAGAGCGAGCAGCTCGGTTCCCCGAATGGGGTCTCCTCTTGCTCGGAATGCGACACAGCTTTTTTTGGCCGGCAGGTGGAAGGATTCACTTGGTTGGTCTACCAGCTTCGTTTGTTGATAGAGAGCCATGCAGGAGCCGCCGTCTTGAGCCGTCTCAAGGCCTTTTTCGTTCGAGGCTTCCAAGACGACATGTTCTTCTTGCCTGATTTCTCAAAAGCGGGTGGTTCTTCTCCTGCAAGGATGGTTAAAAGCTTCCCCCCTTCCCAGTTTGGCTGGCTCCAAGCACGTGGACTTGAAGCGGTGAACGCTTGGTCAAAGAGCAAGAGGGTCTGACCGGTGCCCCCCGATACCTTGGGGATCTCGGAGAGGTTTGCCTGCGTCAGGTCCAAGATCCGCCCGTTTCCGCCGTTGGGGCTCCGGGCTGCGTGGGAGCGTGCCAGCTAACTCCATTCGCACCACGAGCAAGAAAGGTCCAGAGCGTCTTCAGCATGGGTTCCTCGGCCTTAAAAGGTTTTCTTTCCTTTTTTAAAAGAAGTGAAACAGGGACTCCATTTTTTTGGGGGGGAAGGTGTGGCACAGCCTTTGACTGATGGTGTTCTGGAAATCAAAGACACTTTAGGGTTCTGGAAATAGCATGTGCTTCGGGATGTGGGCAACGAATTCTCAACAGACCCTTTTGGCGCAATTGACCTGGGCCAAAGGGCTCGAACTTACGTTTACACCAAGATCCACTAAGCGGCCTCGCAGCTTACAGTCTGCTTGGTCAGGAGGAGCTTGTGGAAAGGATCAAAGATGGATCAGTCATCCCATATAGACCTAGAGCCCAGACATCACCTCTGTTTTGATAGGACCCTGGACCATCTAGAATGGGGGGGTCTGGATACTTCTTTGGTGGTCTTTCACTACAAACCGCTTTCTCCGCGGATCGCCGCCCACGCTAGGTGCCTGCGAATCCAAGGGTGTGACTGAGGATGAGATCAAGGTCGATGTCTCCAGGCGCTTTCCTCCAAGGGACCGAGACGGCCCCGGTGGGGCCGGCGGTTTCGAACGGCCGACCGCGGTCCACGCGGGCCGTGATGGTCCGTGTGTCGTGTCGTGTCGCTCGCGGGTCAGGAACGAGTGGATGTTCCAGATGTCTGAAGTGGATTTGTTAAGAAAGGAATTCAAACAGCAGCCAGGGAGGTGTTGATGATTGATCAAGGCTTGAGGTTATACTCTAGTATAGATCTTCACGATGGACTTTCGATCAATGGGTCAAACGTCCACAGATCCGCAGGCATGTTCTGTTAGATCACTGGACTGCAGGCATCCAGCCATGCAGTCCATGGACTTGACCACCACACAGACGCCTTGGCTGTGCCGTTTTGGGCAATCTGATGGGAGTTCGGAACCGTTGGGAGCTCGGAACGAGTAGGACAGGATGAAATCCCACTTGCCTTGTTGTCCCGGTCATTCCAACCGATGTGACAAAAGCACTCGGGAATATCTGAGCAACTCTGGCCACCTTGCCATAGTTTTGTTTGCAATTTGTTCAAGCATGTCGAGCATTGAGCCTTTGAGTTTGGTTTGTCATTGTTCAACTCCGATATTCATCCAAACAGGTTGTATTTCGCTTGGCTGTTTGGATGGTTAGAAGTCATAAACAGACATCTCGCGCTTTGAAAGGCGACCGTGGAAGATTACTTTGCATTTGTGCGTGGGTTACAGGTTTCTTTGCTGAAGTTCCATATTAACATCCGCATCTTCAAAAAAACAACAATTACAATATATCATATACATATCATATGCATGTTCTATTATGTTGGTCGTTTCTGCATTGGCCCATCGTTGTTTCAGCATTCCATCCAACGCTTTCCTCTTCTGCCGCACGGAGACTGAACTCGCCTTGTTGGCCATGCCCGGAGACTGGTGCGGGAGTCGGCGCAGTGGTTCAGGAAGATGGGCTGGATCAAGGATATCCCAGACCCTCGCGATCTCTACATGACCTTCAAGTCGGTGGATGCTCCGAAGGCTCTCTTTTCTCGTTTTTCATGGTTTTTTTGGAGGCTGGGGTGCTAGGAACCAGAGATCTGGCGGTGTTAGCAAGAGGTTCAGAGGTTTTGGTTCGGCTTGGTGCGTTTGAAGAAGATTGGTCTTCATTGGTGTTGAAGGTTTTTCGCGTTTTGGGTCTTGTAATCTATAGTGCGTTCGGTAGATGACATGAGATCGGACAAATTCTGCGATTTGGCAGAAACGAGGCCCCTCCAGAGATCTCCAGATCACAAGCCGACACCCGAGGTCGAAGGAACTTCGTCGTTGAATTGTTGCGGTACTTTGCACTCCAAGCAGTTGAATCCTCACTAGATTGAACCATTGTTTTCCATGTCGCTGTCTAAGACAGCTTGTGAAACAAACAGATGCACAAGACAGCTTGCCCATTCCAACCCGGTGTACTTTCCACATCTACCGCAGCTTTTCATGCGGTCTCCGAACTCGGCCGGTTCGAGCGACGGGACCGCACCACTCAGAAGGTGACCGCATGAAAAGCTGCGGTGACGAGTATCGGGATGGAGTACCTTGCAACGGTACGAGAGCATTTTTTCATAAATATAAGTACCAGGACCTTCCAAGAGGTGTCTAGAAATAGCCTCTTAGTGGTTAAGGGGTGTCCCAAAACCGCCGGACTTGGAAGGTCCTGGTATCGATCGCTCAATCTACATGGATCGATAGGGATAGACTCGACCCCCAAGAGTTGGAAGACTCGTTGGACACCGAACCAGACCGACCGAAACCCTTGCGACGACCCAAGTCCAGCCATGTCGACCCTCGAAAACCGACTCTTTTTCCGACGTGTCGGACGGAAAGGAATTCCAACAGAGATGCGGACCCCACCCTTTTTGAGCGCCCAAAAATAGAGGGCCCCATGTTTTCAGGACTTCTGCAGGTGGAGAGAGTTCGGAGGAGGCCCAATGTCCTTTTTTTCTTTATCGGGGCCCGGAAGTGGAATCTTCGGTTTTTTGAAGATCGCCGGTTACGGCGACATGGGTTGAACGAACAAGACATTGGTTACCCGCCCTTTGTTTGGGTCACAGGGTCACTGTCCACCAGGAGATCAAGAGGAAGGGTGAAGGCAGCAAAGAGATTGTGGACTTGCGGCCTTTGAACGGTGGATTCAAGATCTTCAACCAAGGACACGGCGTGGCCTCGCTGTTCGGTGGATGGTGGTGTTTGGCTTCAAAACGCACTAGTCACCGCTGATGCCCAGACCACCGTACCTGGTACGAAGAATGCTTCCACACGACTCTGCTGAAAAAATACTGCAACTCCTGACACCATAAACCAAGGCCCCACACAAGGGGTGGTCCATAGACACCGACCTGCCCCCCTCCACGGTTCGGTGAAGCCGAAGCGGCTCCGGAAGCGGACACGTCGACCTCGCCGAAGCTGTGGACTGGAAGGCTGCGGCCTTGACACTGGAAGCCTTCGTTTGAGTGGACTATAAGTCAATCACTTCGTATTCAGCTCACTCGCCCGATATAGGCCTATATTATAATAGTGAAAAGGGACCAGTCTCTTTGGAGCTTGTTTAATGAACCGCGGACAACGAGGGAGTTGGGCGGTCGCGGACAGGACACTTGGGCAGCTGCACAGCGAACGCTTTGGCGGCGGCTTTCCACTTCGCACTTCACAAGGAGAATGTGGCCTGGAGATATAGAGACACTCTATCCAAAAACAGATGTGGTGCCAAGGGAGGGTTTGCATTCCCAACAAGAGGAGGTTGGGAAGATTGAATCGAATGTGCGAGTGGGAGTGGTAGACCTGGTAGACAGCAACAAGATGCAACAAGGCCGTTTGATATGCGTAGCTGCATCGCACAATAATCTTGTAGATAGTGGTCAGACAGTGTAGGATTTCTGCAGTCAACAGTCACATATGACTGTGGGCCGAAACCGGGAGACTTTTTTTCTTTTAATGCACAGAAAGGGCAATCTACCAGGTGCCATGACCCACAGCCATATAAGAATTCGCCCACGTGGTCCGAGGTGTTTTTCTTGAAAAGCCAGGGCCCGTGGGGCCATTCGAGTGTTTCATAGCCACCCCAAAAACACAGACGGATGCTTCAGGGGGTGCTCATTCGCCACCCGCGACGGCTCTGACGGGCCACGTACATTCATGAGCTGCCTTTAGGTCGGGGGTAGTTTGGCCGGTCGCTCATCTCCGGAACCGAAACGAAGTGGCCGGTTTTCTTTCGAACCCATCCCACACCACGCCACTGACACTCCGATTTTTCACGTGAGGGCGGGCAGATGGGCAGACACTCCAGGTGTTCGGTCCATGCGATGTTCGCACAGACTGGGACAGCACCGAGGGAATGACCCAAGCAGGGCCGAGCCACACAATCAGTGCTCCAACAGCGGACTCCAGCAGATCAAAACCATCCCAAGGAGCCACTGTGGTTTTGATGTACATTCGGAGTGGTTCACAGCAGGGGTGACAAAAAGCAAAGACATGTGATGCCTAAATAGCAACTAGCCAATTCGAAAGGGGTGCTTCTTGGAGGAAGATGAGGAAGTCAGTGCCCATTCTCCGCTGGATGGGATTGAAAGCCACCAAGAAAATACCTGGCGAAAACCGGAAACGGATGGACACCGTGGCTCCTGTGAAGCCTCTTCACATCGGACCCGAACCCCAAAAGAACGGTGCTCGATCTGCCTGGAGGTATGTTTTGGGTGGGTGGTCTGTCCCTCAGGTGGAGCAGCATGAGGGTTTCAAGGACTTCACACCAAGCCGCCTCTTCATCTACTACAACGAGAGGTGCGCCGCCTCTTTTCTCCTCGGGAGGGATCGGCCTGGGGAGGTCGGGATCGGCCCAGGTGGATTGAGGACTCGTTCTCTCGAGGGGAACTTCACACGTTCAATGTGAGTCATGGAACTTTGTGTGAGTCATGAGCGGCGGAGAACTCTGATGAAGTTAACAGGACCCCCAAGGGGTGGTGAATGGACCCCCCTAAGGAGCTATAATTGGACACCCCGAAACGATCCAAAACGGGGCCCTGGTAGAGGTTCCTTTGTTCCGCTTTTTCGGGCCATCGACCGGAATCGATCCTAAGGTACTAAGGCCCCGGAAGAGAGTCGTTGATTCATGAGACAACCAACCGACAAAGAGACGAGCCCTCGTTGTCACCGGAGTGGCATGCGTTTTCACCCTCCAAAACCCGTTTCAAACCCAATCTGCTTTGACGTTCCAAGCGACCTCCATTTTGGGAGAGAGCATTACCCGGTCGGTCCGTCACCCATTCGGTCACCGACCAATCCGTCCTTGATCGGTCGATCGGCGAACGTTCGAGTGGGCGGAGCCTTGAAGGTCGGTGAGAGTGGGGTCGTCGCGCGCGTGTCAAAAGGTGGAAGACATAGTACAAGTGACCCCTGGTTTTTCGGAGACGGACTCACGTTTCCCGTACTATTCCATGGGTCGTTTGCCGGAATACAGGTACCAATCAATGAAAGAAAACACATATCATGTCCAAATGAACTGCGGATTTGACCCCCCCGAGGCCACTTCTTGACGCATGTGTGGTAGCTCTTCCGCTCGAGTCGACGGTGGTCGGATGCATCCAGTGGTCGGATCTGCCATACTTCGGGCGTCCTGCGGTTGGGCGTCACAACGGCCTCACCCGAAACGGCGCAGATTCGGGATCTGACGCAGACTGGTTCGAACGGGCCATCCGGGCCGACCTGAGTTGGCTCTGTGTGGCAGGTATGTGGAGGGCAGCGTGGACCGTGATGCCGGGGCGATGCTTCGCGATGGGATCCTGGGCGCAGCGGGCCAAGGGCAAGGATCGTGGTGCATGGGAGGTTCACCGATCCAGAACGAAGCACATCATAGCCCGATATCCCAATTTTAATGAGCTTTCGTCTTTGTTTAGGGATCATGATGCATATCATACAAATCATCTCTGAAGGTGCTCACCCTTTCAAGCTTTGAACCCCTGCGTACACTCCGTCTTGGCAAATTGGACAACTGGTGGGGGTTCTTTCTGTTCGGTGAACCCTTGCATGTTCTGCAGACCTTTTAGTACATTTTGGGTCCTGCGATGGTTGAAATAGGCTTGTGGCTTCTACTCCGTGCTTGGTGTAAACTTCACTTTGGATACCGAGAAGTGGTTGGAGAAAGAACGTGACGACGGATTGGGGACACTCCCGAAGTTGGTGCGCAATCAGTTGGTGACGTCGTTCAGATGGGTGTTTCAGACAGGTGGTTTTCCTCCAAAGGGACCACTTCTTCTTCTTCTTCTTCTTCATGCATCGGACATCATCGGACCACGTCCACCGGGTCCTGAAGCATGACGGATGGCCCTCCGGTGGCCTTTCGGTGGCCGCCGCCATCAGCTGCCACGTTTCCCTTCGCCGGTCTCCCCACGCGCGACGACGAACATCGTGGCCTGAAGACCTGTGACGTTTCGATTCATGTTCGTTTCGATGCCTGCTTTGGCATGAAGACCGAGGGCTGGATGGGACCGCTCTCTGACAACAGAACAGCACCGCCCAGTAAGGGTGGTTTCTAGATCCCTCACCCTGAGCATTGGTTTACCATCCAAGAAGAGGTGGCACCGGCTTCCTCTATAGTTGGAGGAGTACTGCTTGTGCCCAATCACCCCCAGTCAAACCACCTCCTCGACGGGATACCTATCAAAAAGAAAATTGATTCCTATCAAAAAGAAAATTGATTCCTATCAAAAAAGAAATTAATTCGTATCAAAAATATAATTCCCCCTACTCCTTTGGTCCTGGTCTGCTGGTTCCCTGGTCGCTTGGTCCTTTGGTCCCTTGGTCCTCTGGTCCCTTGGTCCCTTGGTCCCTCTGGTCCCTTGGTCCTTTGGTCCCTTGGTCCTCTGGTCCCTTGGTCCTCTGGTCCCTTGGTCCTCTGGTCCCTTGGTCCTGCGGTCCTTCGTCCTGGTCTTCGGGTCCTTGGGTCTGTACTTTCGAGGCAAGACGCGTTAAAGGTGATTTGGAAATCTGGTCATACATCCTGTGAAGCACCGTAGCAGACCTTTTATCGCCAGACGTAGCACACCTTTTTTGTGAGCCACCCTGAAGGTAAAATTTAGACGAAGAAAGTGCCATTCCAATGTGAGCCACCTGAGGGCAAAATTTTGAAGAGGAAGGAGCCATTCCAACGTTGCAGACCTTTTGTTAGCCTTGCGAGGTCAAAACTTAGAGGAAGAAGTTGCCATTCCAACGTAGCAGGCCTTTGTTTTGTGAGCAACCCGAGGGTAGAACTTGCTATTCCAACGTAGCAGACCTTTTGTGAGCCACCCGGAAACTTTAGGTGCCACGCCAAGGTAGCAGACCTTTTGTGAGCAAATTTTAGAGGAGCAGTAGACCTTTTGTGAGCCATGCGAGGGCAAAATTTACAGGAGCAGACCTGTTGTCAGCATAAACTTTAGAGGAGGAAGGTGCCATTCCAACATAGCAGACCTTTTGTGAGCCATCCACAGGTCTTGTGGTTTTGTGAGCCATCGTGAAATTCAGACAGATCACGGTTGAGATGCAGAGAGGTTTACATCTACAAAGATCCAGAGGCCTGGAGATCCAGACGGATCTGCAGGTGTAGAGGCCTAGAAACCCACAGACCCAAAGATGGAGGCTTAGAGGTCTTGAGTCTTGAGATCCAGGGAGGTGTTGAAATCTAAGTTCTATACTTGCAGAGGGTGTAGAAAGATGTTCAGATCCAGAGATATCAAGAGCTCTTTTCACAGGTCTTCAGATCCACAGAATTTTACAAACGCCACGCAAACTGCACTACAAGGTTCGCAATCGCTGCGCTTGCCACGAAGTCTGCGCTGATAGACGGAGGTTCACGCAATCTGCACTTTGAGGTTCACGAAGTGCTGCGCCTGCCATGAAATCTGCAGTTCCGGTGCACAAAGTGCTGCGCCTGCCACGAGCCCTGCAACTGAAGGTGCTCAAAGTGCTGCGTACAAAGTGCCGCTCCTGCCACGAAATCTGCAGTTCCAGTGCACAAAATGCCGCTCTTGCCACGAAATCTGCTACTAAAGGTGATCAAAGTGCTGCGCAGGCCACGAAATCTGCAGTTCCAGTGCACAAAGTGCCGCTCCTGCCACGAAATCTGCCACTGGAGATGCTCAAAGTGCTGCGCGCGCCACGAAATCTGCGCATCCAGATTCACATCGGGCAGCGCTGCCAAGGCGGTTTGCAGTGGCAGGCGCAGCTCTTTGTGAGAGATATTTTGTTTTTGATACAAATTAATTTTCTTTTTGATCGGATATAGAAATTTTCTTTTTGATATATATCAATTTTCTTTTTGATAGCCCGGCCCTCCTCGACTTAGGATCCAAGTCATGGAGAGGCTTGGCGTTTGCCCCGAGGCCATGTGGAAGTGTCCCGGCTGGCCATGACCCACATGGAAGGGACAACACAAAAAGGGTTGCCACAGAGCACACCGGTTTGCAAGGAAAGTAGAGACAAAACATGTCTCGGAAAGTCGAGGATAGGAGCTCACAAAGCCTTGACTTCCGAGAGAACTAAGAGTGTTTGCCAAACACAGCAAGACTTGGAAGACGTAGAAGACTTGGAAGAGCGCAGGCACACCACAGACTCTTAGGCACCATGCACAGGCTGCGACCTGACTGAACACTTGGGGCTCCACCCATCGGCCAACGTGTTTAGGTACGACGACCAAAACGATTTCTTCAAGAAGCAGCCGGACAAGAACTGCTACGAGTTGGCAACCAAGTGCACCGTGAAGGGCTACGCGCATGTGGCACAGGATTTGCAGCAGATGATGCCTGAAGCACTTGGTGTTCCCACCGGTAGTTTTGCTTTTTCTTTTTTGTTCAGATTGCATCAACTTGCTTCAGCTTGGTGTAGAATCAGCTTGTAACCGGCACCATGTGCACTGTCCCAGCAATAAGAACGAAAGACGCCGGAATACAAAGGTTTTGCTCGCACTTAAGCAAGCGCACTTAAGGAAGCTCTGCATCAAGAATGGCTACCCCTTTGTGTGCCTTTGCGTCGAATATGGGTGGCTCACTCCACCCGGTGTTCCTTTCGGATATATCTCGCGAAGTCGGTCCCATGTCGCTTCCCCACAGGGAACCACTCTTGCGGACAGCTCCGCATGCCCCCAACGAGGGCGTTTTCTCGTTTCGACCCGACTCGTTTTCGCCGCTGACGAGCCGCGGACGAGCCCACCAGGTTCGGCTTCACGGTGCTCACCAGCTTCTCCGAGGCGGCCAAGGCGGGAGAATGGTCGGTGCCGGGTCGGGGGGAGACGGTGGAGGCCATGTCACACCCCGTTTCCAGGGGAAGCTCTTGCCTCAGTCGAGCATGCAGAATTCGATGATTTGGGGGGGGAGTGACAGAGCTTCTGGAATCACTGCCAACGAAATCCAACGAATACGTCCACATTCTCTGGTGAAGCATGACGTCCTGATGTGTAACTGCATTTTCAGTCGGATGACGCGGAAACACATTTCTGATCATTTCTGTTTTTCGGCCATTTGCAAGGTTTGTTTTTCAGGTGTGGGGTCGTTCTGCACTAGCTGGGTAATGCGGTAACAAATTCTAAAGGGTTAATGCACCCTTGGGACCACCTGAATTCACGCTCTTGCAAGCTCTTTCTCAAGTGTGTGACTTAGCGCAGCGGAGTTTTTTTGTTTTTCATATGATTTTTTGGGGGTTGGAGCTCTCAATGTGCTTGTCCAGAACGAGTTTAGAAAAGAACATGGTAGTGCTACATAAGAGGCAACAGGGGAATGGAACGCAAAAAGAACGATGCAACAATTTCCTGGCCTGAGTCTTTGACCCTGACCCTTAGTTGGGTGTTCGAAGATCAAACCATTGTTTTTGGGTTCCAGTTGCATCTTTCGATGGTCGATCCCGCCAAGAATGGTACGATGGTGATGCCGCAGCCTGGCGACAAGGCTGGATGGGACGCGTGCGGCCGTCCGCGGGGCTGAAGATCATGCCGTCCGCGGGGTGCTGGGTGTCAGGTGAAGGTCACATTGAAAGTTCAAGTGATGGAACAGAATCTTGACAGATGAATCATCCCCTGTACAAGGATGTTTCGACATCTCCATTTGGAGGGATTGGCCTGGATGGGATTGTGAACTGTCGACATGAGCGGGCCTATGACCTATCCGGTTCGGAGTGTTCTTCCTCTGGTGTTTCGCATCGGCCTTTCCTTTCTTTTTCGATTGGTTCCTGTTCTTCCTATTGGACTCAGACCAGGTGCCATGAAACAGGCTGGTTCAGGGGGTTGCCCTCCCCGCCAGCCAAAGCGCCAAAGCACCAGCACATGGTGCCTGACTCGGTTGGTGTGAAACCATCTGAGGGCCAACTGACCCACTATCTTGGTGATCCTCAAAGTAATCACAAGCTACGCGTCTGCAACCTGAGCATGTTGTGGCAGCCAGAAACCTTCAGCAGCGAAGCCAGGGTTCAGCCCGGCTGAAACTAGGGGTGAACATAATCCCTCAAATCTCGAAATTCCATGCTCGTTCGAAACGAAGAGACACCAGCATTTGTGTGCATTTGTCTTAGTATATAGAGGCGATGTATTCTTTCCGGACTGGTAGCTCGGGGCAGTGGCTGGAGGTTGGCCTTGCCAGCAGGGGTCACTAAGAAACCAACCCTCAACAACGGTAATAGAGTATGCAGATCCCCCAACCAATAGGCTTTAGATTGCCTAGATGGTTTCTATCTTTGTTCATTTTCTTAATTTACAAAACATGGAGTTCACTCCAAACATCTCCAAACGTCCTTCCACACCAACGTCCCGCGATGGCTGCTTGTTTTTCACAGGCTCGGGGTGGGCACGCCGTCTGCGCGGTGGGTTACGACGACTTCAAGCAGTGCTTCATCGTGCGGAACAGCTGGGGAGACGATTGGGGCGACAAAGGCGCCTCGGAACGAACGACCGGGGGTCGGTCCGTGGGGGGTTTGTGTGGGGCGGCCTTGAGAACGCGCCGGTTCCGCGGGGGGATCCGGAGAGGAGACCATTGACACGGACACTTGTTCAATGGGTGGAGGCGGACCATGGAGTTGGGGAGATCTGGATTGGTTTCAGAAGGTCAGTGGATGACGTGTGAGGGATATCGATATCGGGATATCATGAGGAATCCATCAGGTCTTGAATGGGTGTTTTTGCTCTTAATCTTCGAGTGGGGCAAAACCCCCCAGTGCCACGTCTCGCCAGATTTCAATGAGTTCTGTGCCGATCCCTGTGACTCGTGCAAAGATGGGCAGATGCAACCTGCTATGACATGTCCAATTGATTTCCTCAGCTTCACGTGAAGAGATTTAGCTCTTGTCACTCTGGGGGGGAGAAGGCCTTCAGACGCCAGTAGTTTCCCAGGGAACCTGGGTTGATCATGCGCTCCTCAGAGCTTCCCTGAGGCTACTTCTACATGCCCTACGAGTACATTTGCAAGGACTGAAAGCCACTTCGGAGTGCTCCGAGCCTGGAGGCTACTCAAATTCCAAAGCCACACCGCGCTCTCGAGCCCACATGCACTCCGCCCGTCTGAAGCGTTGAGGGCTCCGGAGGCCTGAAGCGTTGTTGACATGCACCCGCCAAACACTCACGCTGAGCCCAGCGACCCGAGCGCCGAGCTTTCGCGCTCGGGAGCTGAAAAAGCGCGCCCGCGATGCTGTGAACTGCGTTGGCGGCTGTCTTCGAGCACGCTGTGCCGCGAAAGTCTCGAGTCTGCGAGCGCGGCTGTGCGCGTGCAGCGGTTTCCATTGTGTACGTGGCATGCGCTCAGTGTCTGTGGGTAGTACCACTGCTCGAGCCGAGCCAGAGTTCAAAAATGTAAAGGCGTCGGCGTCGGACTGCCGTCCACGTCAGTGCAGTCGATCGCTATCGACTGCCATTGGCTGTGATTGCCCGATTGCCTGAAGACCTAGATTGATAGAATCTGCAGCTGCAGCTTTGTGGGTTCGTTTCGCTACCGGTGCAGTTGCTATGTTAGTGCATGGGTTCTGTATCGGTTCGGTTTCGCGCGCAGCCTAACGGTTCGGTTTCGATTTGTCTTCAGTTCGGCTCGTCGCTTTTGCTGAAAAGTATTGTTGAAGCATGTTGAAGCGGCCATGATTGATTAAACTAGGCGAGGAAATATTTTCAGAAAACATATGTAATTACCATTTAATATATATATATAATATTATAGAGATCCCTATTTGTCTGGGTCCATGATTTGAACATGGTCAAATCAATTCGCATGTTTGGCGCCACTTAGTTGCTGTGAACATCGCCGCCCAAAAGGCTGCTCGAACCGCGATCGATTTCGAGGAGTCCAACCGTGCGCTGTTTGTGGGAAAACCCACCCGATAGGTTTGAGTGATCTGAATAAATGCGCTGTTCAATGGCTTTCTGGTTGTGTTGGTGTTCAGTTTGAAAAAACGCTTTTCTGAACTCAACTCGCCACATTTTCCACCACGCTTTTGCCCGCTGGGTTTGTGGTTTGGACTCCGTGCTTCGAAACTGAGTCCGAAGCGGAGGAGGAGCTGGCGCATGACTTCTGGGCCATCAATTGGGTGGAGGGTTTCTGGGTGTGGTTTCCGGAGGAGTGTCGTTCAGGATCAGAGTATGTTTTCAGACCAGCCTTCAAACCATATGCCTGCAATCACCACACATCACCTGCGAGTTGAAATGGGTTGGCTGAACGGCCCTGATTCTGTTAGTTGGCAGAACGTTGGTTTACTAACCGAACCCCCTCTTTGATCAGGAAGATGCATTCAGACATCAAACACACCGCCCCTACTTTGTTCCGCGCCTGCCGCCTTCCAACACTTCGGGTGACGTCGAGCGCCCCTCTGCGGGGACCGGATGCCGAAGAGAAGCGAAACCTGGTCGTGACGTCCGAAGCTGCTTGATCGCCCAGGTTTCAAGGATGCCGCACCTAAGAAGTGAGGCAAGCCTACACTGAGCCTTCAAAGCTCGGTGTGTTCATGTGTGTTCTGCGTTCGGGTGGTTCGGTAGGTGGATCTAGCTGGCCTATGGCCTGACAAGTACGAAAGATGCAAGGTCAGTTGGAGATGGTTTTTGCTGCGTGACGTTTACTTGTGACACGAGCCACCGGACGGAGGGGTTTGCAAATTGGGCGCCCCCAGAGTGGTGCCTTTTGGCGGGTGAATGGAGATAGGCCGTGACTCCTGCTGGGCACTCGGACTGAGTCTTTTGGAGAAAGCGATCGACCCGCGCGGGCGCTGCCGAGTCGTGCCCGCATGTCTCGTTCGGTCGGAGTCTGTCTGTCACTAAGTGACCTCTACTCGGAGTTGCACTGATCTGACTAGTGCTTAGGAGATTTAGGAGGGAATGAGGGAAAATGAGGGAACCGGAGTCATTCCCGCCCTCATTCCCCACCAATTAAGCAACCCGTCAGTGATAGGAGATGAATCCACCAGGCCTGGGAGGGCGCACCAATCCGCACCACACAGACTAAGCGCCCACTGTTAGATTCAGTTTCGAGCCAATATGAATCAACATTTCATGAACCTCTCAGCTTTTTAAGGACTTGGATTTGTGAAGAATCCACCAAACCTATGCTTTTGGATGCTTCAATGCTTCATCCTCTTGGCAATCTCGCCACGCCAAACAACGCCCCGAGGAGGTGTCCTCGCACAACGGCGAGCCCAACGGCGAGTGCTGCCGGCGGCCTTCACGGCCGCTCGGGGGCCCAGGGGAAGCGAAGAAAACGACCGGAGCGTCACCGAAGACACCGAAGCACAGCCGAATGCCGAAGACACACCTGCGGAGTTTTTCAGGTGTGTTTCACGGTTTGGTGTTGAGAATCGCTGGCCTTCTTTTGAAGAACCGCACCGGATTTTGCTGTTCTTGGTGAGCCTGCCCGGATCCATTCTCGACCCCGAAGCCAGTGCCCGAACCCGCCTAGTTGGGTTTTCTCACCAAGAAACATGTGGGATGTCAGCTCTTCTCATGTCAGATGTGCCTTCTGAGAAAGTAGCTGTTTGGACCAAAAGCTCAGTGCTGGATCCTTCTCCCACGGATACCCCACCCCATCAATCTTGTTTTTTTTTTCTTTGATAGATTTCCAGACACGTCTGCAGACGCCCAGACCATGTGTGAGAAACCGGCTTCACCAATTGCTTTCAGGTTTTTACCCTGTGGCTCTTCCCCATCCAAGTCGACCGTCGAGTGGTGCGTGTGCGACGGTCTACGCTCGTGCAAGGTGCACCTCCACCCGCAGTATCTCTCCTGTGAACTTCATGGCCACACTTGGACGCACTTCCGGCACTTGTGGGGGCTGCCGAGCGGGCGGCGTGCTGCGTCATGGACCGGCTGGAAGAATAGAGAGGTGGGTGAAAAGACCTGAGTGCCGACTGGCCACCTCAGGAGTTCCAGAAAAAGCACCCTAGGGATCCAGTCGTACCTCCTCAGGTGATTGGAGACACTTTGGAGGGTCCAGTCGTACCTTCGGTTCGGTACGACTGGATCCTGGCCAGAAGACGATGATTTGGAGCTTCACACGTCCTTCCAGGCGGTCATTGGGGATCGCCCCACGTGGTTCTCAGCTCTCACGGTCGGGAAGACCGGAGGGACTCCGCGAGGCACCACGCGAGGGAAGACCGGAAGGCACCACACCCAAAGACTCTCTTTCTTCGGTGGAAGATCAGATCCGTGGATGGAGAGGGATGGTCTGTTGATAGTAGCTATATCCTGTAGGGTGTATCCTATTACCGGTCATGGCCGGTAAAAGGTGATCATTGATCATTATTTTTGAGCAAAGGCCTTTGGTAACCATTAGTATGTACTTAGTAATGATATGTAATGATTATCATCATCGACGGGTACTGGTAATGGGATACACCCAACCTATACCAATTGCCACTGAAGCCTTAGGTTGGCTAAGGCTTCAGGCAGCCCTGATGTTTGCCCGACGTGCCTGCTTTGAACTGCCAGGTGCCTTTGCAGTCAGATGCAAAACATGGAAGAACATGGTCGATTCACCATCCGTCCCAACAGTCTCATCTCTTTTGTACCGCAGGTCGCTCACTCCGCGCCGCACCGCACCGCACCGGACGACCACGACCAGTGGTCGTCCCGGACGGGGGAAAATGGGAGCCGACTCCGGTCATGCTGACCCGTCACTTCCAAAAGGGCGGAGCGGGCTCTGTTTGGGGCTCCGTTTCGTTGCCCAGGCTGTGGCAAGCCACCAGCAGCGAGAGCCGTGCCTTCGTAAGCCATGAGTGGAAGGAGTGGTCATGGGTTCTGGAGGATCGACAATGATCGAACTGGGTGGCGGTTCGGCGGTGTTTGGTGTGTAAGTGTGTGTTATAGTTATAGTTATTTTGTTTTTTTTGCAGTGGTTTCAGAGGTTTGATAGCACAGACCGCATGATGTCCTTTAGATGGGGGTCGCACCTCTTGGGGTTTGTGCCATCTACTCTCAATCCACTATAAAATCGTTTTGAGTGCCACCACCACCCCTTGAACCCACCAAAGGGGGAAACCACTCATTTTGAGAGCCACATCAACCGCTCCAGCAAGTAGGGGTGGGCAGCTTTTTTGTCGGCTAGTAAGTAGGCTAGTGCATGATGAACCCCCAAATTTCTTGCTCTTTCGGGAAGACAGACCCAGCAGAAATGAGCATCCCTCAATCATCCCAATGTTTTCATCAGCTTTTGGAGATGGCAGGGCTGATGCAGCCAGTCTGACGACATGAAACTGTGGGATGATGACCGAAGACTCCAAAGTTGGTCAAATGAACAAAGGATGAACAACATTGCATCACCCTTTTTGAGGACAATTGAACAACAGCTGCTCATCTGCAGATCTGTAAACAAAAAACGGGTTAACACAGGGAGACGCTTTTCCTTTTTTTGACCTCGTTTTGCTTCGCCCATCGTCTTCCTTGTTATTTTTTTCCCTGTTCAATTTTTGCAGACTGAGGGGCTTGGTTTTGCCTCCGATCCCTTACTGTAGGTTGGAGCTGGATGACTTAAGAACCCAGGACCCTCGGGTTCGGCTGTGGCCAGGGATCCCACACGTTTTTCACGCAGCATAACGGCCTGACTACGTCCTTGCTTGGTTGATTGGTTGATTGGTTTTTCGGGTCTCCGGGATACCCGGATACCTCCCCAAGCCCGCCGTGAACGTTCGGTAGATGGTATCTGGCATCGACCTGGATTGATTCAGTCAGGACATCAATCCCAAACACTCGAGACGTACACGAACCTCAGGTCAACCACCCCAACGATCATCATCCGCTACCGGCAATAGGATAGGCCCAACAAATAAAGAAATACGATATATCAGATGAGAAATATCTATCCCATGCTACACACCGGATCTGGGAATCACCGGTGTGAAACAGAAACTGCACGTGTGCAGGAGGCGACTCCCAGGCCGAGGGGGGGGTGGATGGGGACGGGTGGACATTCGTGGAAACTCTGGGGGAAAAGGCTGGCTCTGGGGAACTCGTATCCAAAAAGAGTTGTGGATGAAACTTTCTGCAACCCTTGCGGCATGATGTCAGGGGCCTGGAAAAAACGGAGCATTGCCGCATTGCCATTGGCTCTCTCGCCGGTGTAAACAGCACCGCGTTTGGGCTCGTGCTGTATGTCATGAAAGAGTGGCGCCAGAGAGGAAGCTGCCTGTTTCAGCACGTCTCCCTCTACGGAGAAGAAACCTTGAGAAAAGAGCTGTTCATCCTTGCCTGACTGTTTGCAGATAGTTTGCTCTGGGTTGCAGACCATAGAATTTCCGTCTGCCACGGGCCAGGTTTGAGATGCCTGGTGGATGATTCCATGATTCCGATGTCCAGCCAACTCACACAGCTACGGAGTATGTACAGGTACTTACAGGTGCTTCACTTGTGAGTGGTCTGTCTGAGCTTCACAAGAGGGTCATGGCCTTTCCCTTCCCTGCACTAATCAGCTGGTCAGTGGATGACCAAACAGCCCCGAAAGGATGACCAAACAGCTGCTCCGACCGAGTCGGTGTGGTCGGACCGGTCGGGGCGCGAAGGTGTCGATGGGTCCGGTCTCCGAGCGATGAAAGAGATGGGCCAATCCTGCCGATGGTTCAAGAGATGGACCTGAAGCCCTGGAGGCCAAGCCCTGGAGGCCACACCGACCAACAACACCGCACCGCATGAGGGGCAGACGAGCGATCGGAGCGATCGGAGCGACGTACGTCCGACGGGTGAGGTTTCAAGAGTTGATGAGACCGGTGACTGGTTGGCCGGTGACTGGACCGGGTTCCTACTCTCGACCGATTTCAGATGTCTGAAGAAGGCGTCCACGACTCGAAAAGCCGCCGAAGGTACGCCACCGAAGGTTGGCAGGTTCTGGTGTTTGGCTGCCGTGAGCTTGGTTGATCCCCACTGAGCGAACCCAAGCGAGAGAGTCCTCCAGGTGGAGTTGCTCTGCTCTGAGGTGCCGCGGAGTGCTCCGGGTGTGAACGTGGGAGGGTCTGGAAAACGTCTTGGTGCTTTGCGAAGGGCCAACTGGAAAGGGCCAACTGGAAACGCAGACGAATGTTGAAGAGTTACCATTTGGTAACATTGGTCTAGGAGGCTTTGACCTAAAAAATGTTCTTCAGGGGTGGTGAGAGCTTGTCCCTTGCATGTTTCACCTACAGGGTCCCTATGGCGCTGGAGAAGTCAGCTGCATCACAATCCATGGACGGCCTCCGTGGTTGTGGGTATCAATGGCGTCTACGGTGGTAGAGGATTTCAGGGGCAGGAAGAGTTCAAAAACACCTCAACACCTGAGAAAAGCGAGGTCCGCACTGTCGGTGTGGTGTTCTGAACGTGGCCCTGTGCCCGCCCTACCGCCCAATCGCCACCCTGGACCGCTCCGGTGCTCCGGTTCCGCTCGATGTTGAGGCGGGGAACCCCGCGACTTGCGCGACGCGACGCGCAGCGTCGGCAGGTCAGAGCTCTTGTTGGAGATCTTTGAGATGGCGCTGGAACTGGAGAGGGGGCCCCGGGCCGCCGTCAGGGGCTAAGAGTTGGAAGAGGATCTGACGCTGGCCAAAGGAGGAGAAGTTCCTTCGAAGCTTTCTTTGTCCTGGGAGGTTTCCCTTTCTTTGTGAAGCAAACCACCCACTTCTGAAGTCGGATGCTCCTTGGGGCAGACCTTTGGCAAATTTGCAAACACCTACCAGCCATTTGGCTGCGTCGGTAGGCGAAGGGCAAGTTGCAGGGTCTTGGAACCAAAGCGTCAACCATTCTGGGCCCATACTGGGTCCTGAGACGAAATCTAGATCCTTCTCACCCTCTCTTTCCTCTTGCGTTCGCCGATGACTGTTGTCTGTGGCCGCTGTGCACTAGAATTCCTAATTAACACTGGACAATTTCTTGCCATGAAAGTCTTGCCCCATGCTAGCCTTCTGGTCGAATTGACCAACCAGGGCCTCGCAGCGGTCAAGAAACCATTGCGGGAGAGCAGAGGGATCTGTACTTTCGTGCTGGCTCGAAAGGAAAACTTTTGCGAGCACCTCGCAGAAATCCTTCGGATATTCTTTGAGTGAGGTGGTCAGCCACTCGCCATGTTCTCCTTTTCCGATGGAAATTGTCTTAGGCAGGGGTGTTGTCCTGCCGCTCAGGAGCAATTGCTCAGCATTCTCAGCTACATTCATGCATAAAAGTTCTGTAGGCTTAGGTGATTTGGCTCCATAGTAGCCTTGCAAGACGCGGATTCGCCGGCACTGGTCAAAGCGCAGGAGAGTCTGCACCACTGGTAGCCTCCAGATGCACACCTGGTTGTGATTGTTCAAGTCTTCAGCAGGGTGCTCCAATATCGCCGTCTTTCCTTCGAAGAGGGCAACAACCATAAGTCTAAGCATTATGCCAAGGAGCCTGCTTCCGAAAGCAACCTGGTCATGCTCCTTCATAGTCAGCCCTAACAGTCCCATGGGTCTTGCCATGCTGCGCACAACTCTTTGACCTGGTCGTCCGTCAGGGAGTAGTGACCCACGCGCCCTGGACCACGTTTCACACGGTGGTCCTCCAATGAAGCCAAGGAGAACATCTTCTGCCAAGGCGCGGACGAAGAAAGCGAATGTGTCTGCTTTTGCCAAATCACCGTATTCGATGTGGAAAATTATGTCGATTGACAATGCGAAAGCGCCAGAAGCTTCGAGGTGGCTCTGAATGTCGCCCTCCCTTCTGTGACCTGAGAAGAGATGAGCGAAAACTCTCGGTGAATACTTTGGCACTCTGGCAACGTGGCAATGCAAAGTCGTCATGCGGTGCGCATGATGTTCAAAAAAGTCCATCGACTTCTGCGCCAAGTTGTCTTGAGCAATATGTTCACCAGTGAGCCATTCATACGAAAAGTGCGTCTGAAACAATTGCAAAATCCCCAATTGTTGCAGGTCAATTGCTTCATCAAAGTCTGCATTCCATTGCTTGAAAGTGGCAAGCAGTTCATCCGGGTATAGGAAGGTCGATCCAGCAGCTTTTCGCAATTGTTCTAGCGAAGCATCTTGATCTCGGAGAGCTAATGCAGCATCCCACAACAAACGAAGTCGGGCGCACTCAGCTCGAATCTGAGGATCATACGGAGCATTTGGATCAATAGGAGCCTCCAACGGCCCTTCCGCTTGAAGATAGGGGAGGTGTATTACTTCGCTGGCCTTCCTAGCTTGCCTGCTATTCACTCCAGGTGTAGGTTCAGCAAGAGTCGGTCTTGTTTGATAAAACTGTAGGCAGCGTTGTGTCCTTTTGACATGATTGACTAGGGACACATAGCTTCCATACTTCTTCAGGCAGCGCAGACAATCTTGTCCCTCAACGAAATGTCTTGCTATCTGGATCCTGCCATGTTTCTTGAAGGAGTGGACAGTCATGGCAGCACGGCTGCAAAACACCTTCTTGCACGCGAGGCACCAGAAGGAGTCTGATTTCTGTGGCATCTCAGGCTGGCCATATCCCTTCAGCAAAAGTCGTCCTTGTATTTCTGCATGCCAAGACTTCCAGTCGTAGATTCTTGTATGGTAGTTGACAGCCCTGGCAACTGCCTTTCGGATCACTCTCTTCCACTGGCGTGGATGGTGGAGCGCCCAATCTTCTGCTTTCCACCAATCATCAGGCTCACCTGTCGGTATATCATGCTCGGGACAAAATGCTTGGAGCCATTCGAGATCCTGCCGAACTTGGGCAAACCAGGAGCCTTGAAGTTGTATCAATGCCCAGGTATGTGGTTGCCCATGGCGTACCAATTGCATGATGTATCGAAGTCTGGCTTCTCGACATACATCGTCTGGGTGTGGTAACTCCAATGTCGCTCGTACATGGTCAAAACTCCATTCCTTGGCATGATGACCAAAGTGTGACCAAGTGAGTCGTTTGTACAGTCGGTGGAATCCTTTTTGCATCTGGGTTTTCTGTCTCTTTGTCTCCATTTCCCAAATTGCACAACTGAAGGTGATAGTGCTCAGGATGAGAGACTTAAAGTATTGGACTTTTGTCTTCAGCTTGAGACTTCGATTGTTGAAGATCTGTGCACGGAACTAGGTGAAAGTATCATGTGCAACCGCGAACTTGACACTGAGATCTTTCGTGAGTTTTGCCCCTTGCTGGATATAGGTACCCAGGTGTTTGTAGCAGTAGACAGCTCTCAGTGGTTGGTCAAGAAGGGGCGATTGAAGGTGCAGTTGATGCCCCATTTCCATCCATTGCCGTTTTGCCCTCAAACTGCCTGGACCTCGTAGTTCTACCACTATCTCAGTTTTCCCAGGCTTGAGGTTGGGTCTCAGACCTGCGGCGGCCAATGAATGTAGTATTTGCGCGGCAATCTTCGGCAGGACATCTAAAAGTACGGAAGCATTTTGATGTCTGACTGCAAGTGCAACATCATCAGCCCATATCGGCATTAATGGGCCGAGGGTGCAGTTGTTTTGCAGCGAAGTGTGGGGGCAGCAGCTACCATTCCACGTCATCTGTAGGAAAGGAAAGTCAGCCACAAGCTGCTGCTGTGTGCGTCTGAGTATCTTGCACAGGACAAATCCAAAGCATATGTCTGCAAAAGAATCACCAGGGCGGCTTCCGCGCCTGGTCTGGGTCAGTACCGGTGTACTTCGACCGAGTACCACGTTGTGCTATAGAACTCCTGGAAGAGGTTTTTCAAGAACGGACTAGCAGTAGAACTGTCCAAAGCAGGAGCACTGCTGCAAAGTTCTTGGAATTCGAGAAAAGCTTCGGGAGGGAGTCCGAGGCTCTTGAATAGTTCTGCTGTGTTTCGTGCGTCCTGTGCACACTCAATGAGGTGTTGACGAAGGAGCCGGTAAAAGGCACTTTGGATGTCGATGAACAGAAAGGCACAGCTCTCGCCTTCACGAAGTGCCGATGTGTGGAAGAGTCGCAATGCATGGCTAGCTTGTGCAATGCTCTGTCCCTCAAGACCTCCTAATTGCATCTGTAGACGCTGGTCAGCAAAAACTCTTCCAAGTTCCCTTCTGTAGATGCTGTGGAGGGCTTTTCCGATGTGGCTGGACACAAACAGGCTGCGATAGCTATTGCAATCAGTAGAGTCGCCCTTTTTGAAAACTGGCACCAGCTTGCCACCTTTATGAAGGAGTGATTCTTGCTGGTACGCTGCCTGCTTGTAAAGCAAGGGGAAGAAACTGATGGCAAGCACAGCAGGGATTCTGGCGAGAAGATCTCCGGGAATGTCATCGCAATAGTATGCTTTATTGCTCTTCATTCGCCGGAAGCTGGCCTCTACCTCAATGAAGGTGGGGAGCTGCGACCATTCTGGACAAACAAATGACGCGTTCTTCTTTTCATCGCAGAGGTCCATCAATTCTTGTATTGATTTGGCCTGTCCATCTTCTTGAAGTGAAAAATGTGTTCGCCATCGTTCTGCGACTTTTGAAGTAGTATCAAGCAGACAACCCTCCTCATCACGCACCATAGGCAATGGTATGGCAAAGGTGGGCTTGCGTCTACTTTGGACACCCATAGATCGCAATGCAGCAGCAAAATCTGCTTGGGACATGGAATTGGCTTGTTCGCCAAGTTGTTCCAATGCGAGAGTTCGATCTCTTTTGAGTGATCTCTGCAGATCTTTAGTCAGCTGTGCAGTCTGGCGTCGGCAACGGATCAACATGGCTGTCTGTCGTAGTGTATACAGCAGCAGATCACGAGGCCGTAAACATTCAGCGAACCTCCATGCATGGAAGGCGAGAGTCATAGTCGCATTGCAAGCTTTTTGGCAATGTAGCGCAACAAGCTTTCGCAAGGCCAGTCGTGCCTGTCTGATTCGCCAAGTAGTTTCAGTGATATAAGTCTTGCGTGGACGATGTCGATCACTCGGGAAGGCCGTTGCTAGTTTTCCTGCTACCCACTCTGCCAGAATCGTAGCATGCTGGTGGACATCAACTGACCAGGGCACAATTGGTGGCTTGCTAAACAATGCTGCCAATGTCTCAGGCGCACATTGCTGGAGTCTTTGGCGGTCAAAGTTGCAGCGCACTTTACTCCTTTTGTGCTTCGTCAGATATACTTCAATTTCACAAGCAAGCGGGGAGTGGTCAATGCCAGCTGTCCCGGAGTCTAATTCATCATCAGGAAAAGTCCGGCATGGGCCGTTCCACTCCTCTGGAAGCATGAAGTAGTCGCAACGTGCCCCTTGCCCGTTGACATTGCTGATCCAGGTTTTTGTTGGTCCAGCGTGACAGGCTTCAAAGGTCGATGGGAGCCAACTTCCCAATTGGGCAAGTAGGTTCCCCAAGGATGTACCGGCAAAGTTGGTCCGCTCTTCAAGGCCGTGCTCGCCGATATGCGGCAGAGTGGCATAGCTCATGTGCGCATTGGCATCAAAGCCCCCGATGAAGTTTGGGTAGATTGGAACCCAATGCATCAGTTCATGCCGGAGCAAAGCCCAGAATCTTTGTTGCTCGCCTTCATCAACTCCGCTGTGGGGAGCGTGGAAAGTGAAGAAAAGATAGTCAGTGCCTTTGCATACAGCTTTGGTCAACAGGAATTGGGG